TTCTTGGTATTTGATAAAAATTGTCCATTTCGTAACTATCTGGTGTTAGCTAGCTAATCTTATCGCCGTGTTACAAATAAGCTATTTTGTTTGTCAGGTATAGCTTGTGCATATGTTAAAAAATAAAACAACTTCATCATTTCATACATTCATCACTATCAAATATCAGCACTAGAATTAATAAATTAAAAACTGTTGAACACTTACTTTTAACTGTTGTCACACTATAATGTGATCGACAATCTCACTCCATATGAGTTCTTGAGAATTTATTTGAAAAATAACAAACAAAATAACACAATGGCGACTATTTAGTTGTGAATTCACTAGTACCTTTTTACTTGTTGAATTGTGATTTCATTTCGCATGACATATTTCCTATAGCTGTCAGATTTGATGTTGCCACATAACTAACATAAATACAACGAAACGATATCGATTTGTATTCGATTAGTAATTTAAGGAAAAAATAATAATATTTGAGTTTCGCTTTCAGTTCTACACGCTTTTTAAAATATATTTTCTTTTATTTTTTTAAATTATGTTTTAAACGTATTTTTAAGAACAGTTAAAATGTGGAGTAGCGTATTGTTATGCTCTAAACAGTTCATGGTAAATCAGCTAAAAATTCACTTGTTTAATTATCATAACATGATTCCATTTTAAATGTATTGTTAAAACAGATAACAATAACAGTTAAATTGTGCAGTAGCATTTTATTGTACTCTAAAGAATTCATAGTAAATCAGCTAGTAATTCGCTTGTTTAATTATCATAACATCATAATATCCATAGCGATTCGATTATTATTCGATTAATAATTTCATAAAAAGAGAATAATCTTGGAGGTGTTTTAACTTCTGCTCGCTTTTTTAAAATGTATCTTCCTTTTTTTATTTAAATTCTATTTTAAGTGTATTTTTAAGAACAGTTAATTGTGCTAGTAGTGTTTTATGAAGCTCTAAAAAATTCATGGTATATCAGCTAGAAATTCACTTGTTTAATTATCGTAACATGATTTCATTTTAAATGTATTGTTAAGAAAAGATAAGAATAACAGTTATATTGTGCAGTAGCGTTATGTTATACTGCATAGAATTCATTGTAAATCAGCTATTAAATCGCTTATTTAATTATCATAACTACAGATGTGAAGGCGGTTGTTAACGTTTTCAACCAAGCCGATAACAACGGTTGTTTTGGTCTTGAAATTGATAAAAATTGTGCAGTTGCGTTTTGTTAAGCTTTAACCTTTTGAGCGCCACGCCAAAAACGCATTACCGTGTCCTGTACGCCAAAGCGCCAAAACAAAATAGTGTTGCCAAGAGTTGATATATCGATAACGTGAAATAACTTGTTTTTGTTGGTTTTTTATGCTATAAATGACTCTTAATAAACTGTATGTTTTATTTAATCTTGTGCCGTCTTCCACTCTTTTTATATATGTACTTTGTACGTATAAACATAAATAAAAAACAAACAATAACAGTAAAATAGTAGTAAACATTAGCACTACTCTCCATCCTAATGACGACACTGTCGCGACTGGACGACAACGGCGTAGCTGACCTTCCCTTTTGAAACATTCTTAGAATGTTGTGTATCGATTTCAAAATCGATCTAACCGAAATATACAGACATCGATTCATAATATTTTATGTGTCGGGGAAGGCGTAGGCCAAGTGACGCACAGAAGAAAAGTCTTACACTCTTATGACAATGGGGATTTGATATGATGCTGTTGCTGCTAGATGATTTTGAGACTGAGAAAGAAAATGGCACAACACAAAATGAAAAATTGCTCTTCACACCCTAAGTAAAAAAAAGGGATACATTAATTGTAATTTTGTATTATTATTAAAAAAGGTACATAATTATTCATTAATCAACAATTGTATATAATTATTCGCACTAGGTAAATCAGCCTTATAATACTAAAATCTTGGTCATGGAATAAATAAACATATTTGTTCACCAATCAATCAAAAATTCAATTCATCAATCAAAAATCAAAATTCATCATCATCGACGCTTTCCAAAATCCGAATGAGTTCTGAGGAATCGTTCATGTTGCATTGCTCTACTTTTCTCGGTAATCACTTATGACGTCATCAGGGTGTCGTCTATCCTTGATCACGGTGCCCAGTGAACTGATTTTCGATGACGCGCTAAAGATGCGCTAGAGTTGAGATATTAGATTTATTATGCGAAGATAATCTGATAACATTTTTTTATTCATGTAGCTAATTATAGTTTTATGTTTATAACCTGTAATTTTATTCAAATATCAATAATAATAGAAAAAAAACACCATTGAGCTGAATTTTGGATAGTTTTCAAGAAATCTATGCCTCCCGCGTTTGACACTAGCGGTCAACCATAGACGACTTTGGCGTGCTGGACATAGTATTTGCTTAGATAAAAATCCATTTTTATTAGTTCAATGTTTCTTAGTACTTGTGGCTCTAGAAGACTTGTTTTTTATACTCACATGTTGCTGGGTTATTCCTATTTTGAGGAGTGTAGAATTAAAATACCTGTAATAATTTTCCAATATCTATATTTCATATTTTTCGGAGCCGGGTTTTTTGTCAACTATAGACGTCGTTGGCGCTCAGGGCCCGCAGGTGTTGGTCAAGTATAGGCGACTTTGGCGCTCAAAAGGTTAAAGGATTCATGGTAAATCAGCTGGAAACTAACTTGTTTCGTTATCATAACATGATTCTATTTTAAATGTGTTGTTATAAACAGAGAAGAATAACTTAACCGATCTTCTTTAAAAACAGGTAAGAATAACAATTCTTATCTGTTTTCAAAGAAGATCGGTTAAGATTAACAGTTAAATTGTGCCGTAGCATTTGTTACTCTCTAAAGAATTCATTAGAAATCAGCTAGTAATTCGCTTGTTTAATTATCGTAACATCATAATTATTTAAAAATTATATTAGCACTGTAATGATGACGCCGTAAATAATCGATCGAAAAAGAGAATCGATTTTTTAAATGTGTTTTGTGATTGGCAACACTTTTTTTTTATTCACAAACTGATGACATAATGATTTACCTAATTTTTATTATTATGTTTCCTGTACTTTTAATTTGTGCAAAAATATTCCCATTGTTTGAGGATAAATGAATACCTCGATTAATAACCATAAATAAAGATATAATTTTTTAACAAATTCATATTGTTGGGCGTTCCATGGCCGAAAATGGGCGTCCCCCTTTATTAATAATATGAAGGGATATTTATTATTACTTTTAAAAACTTAAAATAATTAAGTACTTAAACATGTATATATATGTGTTCCTGGAGTCGGTGGATCGTTTTTCTTTCTTATTATTTCTAAAAAATCTTACCATATCCCATATTATTCAATAAAAATAAAAATATTAAGTAATACATTAAAAAAGAAAATATGTAATTTTCATTTCCGCAGTATAGTAATATTGTTGGAATAAAATCGAGAGTAACAAAAATAATATATATTTCTCATAAAAGTTTAAATCTAGATAATATGTAAGTAGATAGATTGTATAGTACAGTTATTAGCTTTCCATGAGATATTATACCTACCTTATGAGAAATCCACACAGATAAAAGTTGGCGCACATCAGCAGTTGTCTCGGCCAGTAATTGTCTTCGCACACTGCTTTGAAACCTGACTCAACAATTGCTACATACACTTCTATTTTCATTGTATGCTGATCTAGCAGATTCTATTTTCTTAAAATCGCATATAAATACAAAAAAACAGTAGCGTGACGAACGTCAATGCCGTTAAGATTAAAGATGTAATGCCCCGGCCCGCCGTACCCGTCCGCCGGCCGCTGGGAATTACCGGAAGTCAATGATAATGATAAAATAACGTTTTGGTTCACAGTCATTTAGAACTATGTTATAATATTATATTAGCTAAAATTTTTTTTATAAATTAAACATAAAGTTCTTAGTGGTATCTTTTGTAGTCAGATTTGTGAAAAAATAGTTTTCTTTTTATACAAACTGCAAAATGTCTAATTAGGTACACGCATTTTACCCATATTACACGAATCAGAACACGAATATCAAAACAACTAATTTTTTTTTCATATTTCTTGATTCCGTTTACATTTTCGAAAAATCTGTAGGCCATTTACTATTATAATTTGGTGTCTTTTTTTTTGATGTAATACCTTTAAGTGAGGTTAATATTTTTAGTGGGCCCAAAAATGATTGTCCCCTTTAAAGTTCCCCGTTGGTAACTTTTGCATCATACGAGTGGAGTACCAATGTTCACGCGCAGAACGCGTGGTAGTTAGGATGCAGTTTTTAAATAAAAATCTTTGTCTTCATAATATATAAGTTATAATATTGTACTTGGATAATCAAATTAAATGAAGTGATACAATTTAAGGGAAAAACGCTATACAGGATTAGGCTGCCTGTCCACCGGAGCGGAGCGAGGCTGCGGAGCGGAGCGAGAAAGTAATGCGGAGAGGAGTTGCAGACTCTGTTTTTCAATATGCGGAGCTAGGCCGCGAGTATGCGGCGAGTCATTTCGAGCTTCCGGCGGCGAGCGATTTGTTTAGTTGTACGCGAAATATCAGTGACAGTAGACATGTTATCGAAAAAGTTAATATATTATTACCTTAAATTGCTTGAGGAAGAGTTGGAGTCAGAAGAAAACGAATTACTTACCATATACCATTTGACCAATTCTATGAGGAAACATAGATTTTGGATAAGAAACCATATCAAACATCGTTCAGAACACAGTGAATTTTTTACTTTTTTCCAAACTGCTGATGAAGAAATTTTCGAAAATTCTTATAGGGTATCAAGATCTACTTTTCATGAACTTCACTACCTGATTGAACCATATATTCGGAAACAAGACACAAATTACAGAATATCAATTAGTAGCCGTGAAAGATTAGCAGTGTGTTTAAAGTAAGTACATTTTGAAATCAAAGTAACTTTTATTTCTTTCATACAGTAGACACCATGTTATATTAATTTAAAAATCATAATCCGTCTCAAAGTTGTCCGCATTTTCATTGGGTCCTGTTGGCTCTGCTGCAGATGTTTCAATATCCTGGGTTGTTTGAATTTGTAAAGCGCTAGGATTATTGATACTAGTGTTGATTGTATCTAGAGCACTACGAATATTAATAGTAGTGTTGATATCATTTGGAGCACTAGGAGTATCGATACTAGTATTGATATTATCTGGTGTAGGTGTTGAGCCTGTAGAATAACCATAATTATTCGGAGAATACCAACTATGCTGAAGATTTTTTTGTGTTTTGGGGTTTTTTTTTAATTTGAAGTTGTAAGTAATACGGTAGTTTTTTTTGTCGATGCAGCCAAATTTAAAAAAAATAAATCTATATCATCGTACTTATCACTAGCTAACATCATGTTTTTAACTTCTATCCGTTCTCGTGCCAACAGTTCGCGGCGTTCCTGATTTTTTTTAAAAGATCCAGAATTTCATCGTTTTTTCTTTTTTTGGATTTGGATGGGTGAGGCCCAGAAGCTGTTGAATCATTAGGATCATCGATAGAAGGAAGATTATTTGAATTTGATGGTAAAAGACTGCATGATTCCCTTCAACTCTCTTCAATGGTATTTGGCGAATTAGAAGTTTCCATTACTGAGTCGTTCAGTGGCGCAAAATTTGTTGGCCGGTCTCTATTACTCATGTAAGGCAATAAAAATGACATTGCTTTCTGATATTTCCATTCCTTTCGTTGTTTTCTAGCCTGTCCACTCCTTGTTGCATTTTGTCTTTTTAAGGCATCCCGATGGTTATCTCTTAGTTGTTTCCGTCGCGACTTGGCAGTTTTAACTGAAACAATAAACAAAATCAAAAATATATGACATGGTCTATTTATGAAAAAAATATTTCATGCCTGATTTTTTTAAATGTTTGAATTTTGTAATTTGTTTTATTAACTAAACAGATTTTTAGGTATTTAGCAACCGGCCAGTCATTTACAACGTTGGGAGAGAATTTTGGAATTGGATTGAAAAGTGTATCAAGAATTGTTGACGAGGTTTGTGATGCTTTATGGAATGTATTGCAACCTACTGTCATGCCGCAACCAACAGAAAACGACTGGAAAGAAATCGCAAAAGATTTTGATGAGCTATGGCAATTTAAAAATTGTACAGGTGATCTTGATGGCAAGCACGTATATATCAAGGCTCCCTCGAAAACCGGGTCCTCGTTTTTCAACTACAAAAAGAGATTTTCTGTAGTATTGATGTGTTTAGCTGATGCCAGAAGGAAAATCATAATGGTTGATGTGGGATCTATGGGAAGTTTTTCTAATGCAGGAATTTTTGCTGACAGCATTTTCGGAAAGAGATTAAAAGAAAAGAGATTGAATTTACCTGAACCGCTACCATTGTTTCAAGGTGGAGCAAAAATGCCGTTCGTATTTATAGGAGACGAAGCTTTTCCATTAATGGAAAATTTTATGAGGCCATACCCACATGATAGACTAAACGCAGAAAGAAAAATATTTAATTACCGATTATCAAGAGCACGTCGCATTGTTGAGGCAACTTTCGGTGTATTGACGAGAAAGTGGTACGTATATCATAAAGATTTCGAATGCAAAATAGAAACAGTTGACAAGGTAATATAAGCAACGTGTATTTTGCATAATTATTTAATTCAAAGACAGCCTGATTATATAAACAATATTGAAAATAGCATGGAGCAAACATTACTATCGGATGGTGATATTACAGAAACACAACACTCTAGTAATGATGGTTATCAAGTTCGCGAAATGTATTGTTCATACTTCAATAATCAAGGGAAGGTACCATGGCAAGACACTCTTGAGAAGAATCTATAGTCAGTGATACGTGACAGATTTGGATAGTTGGCCAACCGCGGACTATTTGTTAAATAAAATTTAGGTGTTCTTGTGTTAAATAAATAAAAAAACCGGCCATATTGCAAATTTTAGTATTGGTTATTATATCTTATTATAGTATTTACTAAAACTATACCAAATTGGATGCTTATTATTAATATTATTATATATATTTAATTTATATATATTACATATTATTTACCATCTGATATGTTTGTTTCGACGATTATTTGGTCCCACGCAGCGTCTTTTGTTTCATTGCATTTGTAAAAATCTGAAGATGTGTTCCAAATGCACGGAAACTTTTTAACACTTTCAATAAGTTTTTCATCCATATCTTCACTGCACCGGTCACATACACTCTGCTCGGAATACGGCGGCACACTGCAGACGCACCACGCTTCACCGCTCGGCTACCCCGCTCTGTTTCCCCGCTCAGTTTCCCCGCTCCGCTACCCCGCTCAGCTTCTCCGCTCAGCTTCCCCGCTCCGCTTACCGGTTTTGTATGAATTTTTAAACTAGTTCGCAACTCCCTGTCCACTGAAGAGGAGCGGAGATTTTGTGCAATCCTATTGGTTAAAATTTCTCCGTTTCTCCGCTCCGCGGCCTCGCACCGCACCGGTGGACAGGCAGCCTTACTGGAAACTCGACGTATTCCTGACTGGACGTGACAGAGAGTCAAAATGCAACAAATTTTACCTACATATGTATTGCGAAATGAAAGTGGTTCCCAACATTTTTTTTTATTTTAGATTTTTTAATAAATTACCCAGATTTCTTCATATTTACCAAAATTTTAAAAAATCTGCTTATTGAATGGTATTACTATTTACTTTTATTCAAAGCTGACTGTTAGATAAAGCTACAAAGCTCATTAGTATCCGAAATCACTTAACACTTTAAAGTCAAAAGCCAAAAATCAATTTCAAAATTTTAAATTTTTAAATTGTTACAGGTTAGTACTGACTCATATCTCAAAATTTTACCATGGCACTAAGTGTACAAATCACTTAATTATCTTCCTCATTTAATAATCTATCCAAAAAGGTATGAATGTCAGTAGAAACTTATGAAGTCATAATACAATTCACATTTGATTTAGTGAATAAAGAGTAAAGAAAATCCCTTTTCGTTTATCTAGGGTCCTTTTTACCTGCGCTTGACCTCTAAATTCACCGGCGCGCTTTGTGATTGGTCGCTATTGTTCACGCAAAATTGTTATTACCATTAGTTCGTTTCAACTCTACTTCGAGCAAGCAAGTGTTTTGTTAACTGGCTACTTCCCTAATTTTTGCTGAGCATTTCGCCCTGTCTTGTGCTGTTTTGTGTAGAACTGACAATGGCTGCGTATTCTAATCCTGAATACGCTGACATCATGTATTGTTACGGGTTGTGTGATGGTAACGCAGCTGAAGCCCGAAGGGAATACCAACGTCGTTTTCCCAACGCCGTCTACCACACGTCAGTGTCTTCAGAGCGACTTATCGGCGGATATCTGAAACCGGCAGCGTTAACAGAAAGCAGAGTGACACTGGTCGTTCACGGAGGTACACACCTGAGGACGAGGAGGCGATACTGCAACGCTTTATTGACGATCCTAATACCTCGACGAATATCGTAGCGCGTGAACTTGGTATGTCACTGTGGAAAGTCTGGTCTGTAGTACATTTATCGGGCCGACATCCATAACTTTATCAACCCGTCCATTTATTGGAAGAGGGAGACCCGGCTAGAAGGCTAGAATTTTGTCGATTTATGCTAAATGCCGATGCCGATGACGAAAATTTTTTAAAAAAAATTCTGTGGACGGACGAGTCATGTTTCGATCGTGATGGTATTACAAACTACCACAATTTGCATTACTGGGCACCAAAGGTACATGGAAATCCAAAAAAAACTGAAACCGACCGCATCCCAGCGCAGATTCTCAGTTATTGTATGGATGGGTATCATCAATGATAATTTAATTGGTCCACATTTTTTACCAAGAACTTTAAACGGAGAACTGTAAAGACTTTTTAAAAAATCATTTAGCGACATTGCTGGCAAATGTCCCTGATGAAAGAAGACAGAACATAATTTACCAGCATGACGGATGCCCAGCCACTTTCGAGTAACAATCCGACAATTGCTCGATGAAAATTACCCGAACCGGTGGATAGGGCGTAGTCGACCGATTCCATGGCCGGCACGAAGCCCCGATCTGACGCCGCTAGATTTTTATATCTGGGCTCACATAAAAGATTTAGTTTATGTGACTCCAGTTAATTCAGAAGAAGAACTCAAGCATAGAATTCGAAAATGCATTCGAAACCGAGGGCAACACATTGAACAAGATGTGTAATTAATTAAAACAATGTACAAAACATTTTGTAATAAGGTGATTTGATTATAATTAAAATTAATAATGTCTGAGTAATTGTTTTAATTTTCCCCAATGAGCTCTACCTGCACTAAGTCAAATGTAAATTTTATTATGTAGTCCATGAGTTTGTATTGACATTCATACCTTTTTGGATAGCTTATTGAATGAAGAAGATTTTCTAAAAATAAATGATAAAATACTTATTATATTACTACACTAAAATATAGATCAGTTTATTATAATAAAATACAGTTCAGATTTAGACTTTTAGTTTTATGGTTTTTTATTTCGATTTTATCTGAATTTGAATTTAATTTTTTTGTTTTTATTACGATTTTATCTGAAAGCAACAACACGTAGGTAAGTAACACTGATTAAACTATTAAACTAACCTTTAGTTGGATACAAAACTGGACGAGCGTTGTGATAATCTTCTTTGATGCATGATAACAACTGGGTAACAGCCTTCCACGTTGGGGTTTACTCATCGACAGCTGATTTAAAGCTGATCAGAGAGTGCTGCCATCGGTCAGCTGATGGAATAGCCTCCAGCTCGCGGAAGTTAGAGATGCGCACTTCGATGTAATATTCTTCTCGCTTCGAAGGCTCGCTCCGGTGCATATATCCCGAATCTGTTCGGTATGATAAGTAGTTTTTTTTAAAATCCCGCTCGGATAGGTTCAGAATATTCTTCCTGGAAACAATAAAAATACTAGTTAAACAAAAGCATACTGATAAGCAATGAACAATACTTATATTCTCTCTTACCCCGCATAAATATATTTTTATACGATGCTCATACATGACTTAGTAGTACAATTTACTATCAATTGATCACAACGTTCGTCTAAGAATATAATTAAATTCGTTTTCATTAAAAAATTAACCTATGACATTATTTATTCACAACATCCAATCAAATAGAAACTAACTTTTCATCATGTGAATGGTAACTCAAACTATTAAAATGAAATAAGATTTGCATACCTAAGAATCTGGTAAAAGGTATAATTTACGTTTCCTGCTGGTCGAAGCTGGGGTGAGTGATGTATCAGCCTCAGATTCCGACTCGCTTCCGAATAATTCAACTCGTTTCTTGGATTAAAGGCCGATTTACATTATCTTAGTGTTTAGGAGAGTATTTTAGTACAACTTGAAAGGCAAGTTCTTTAGTGCTTTAGGGCGTTGCGAGTGAACGTTTACATTTCTTCCAGTAGAGTATCATTACAGCGCCACAATGAACGCGCAAAGACGTCGGCAAATACGCTCTATTGTACGCAAAATACTAACGGTAGTTTTGGAACAAATAGAAGATGAGATTTTATTTGAAATAAATGAACCGAAACGAATGCGGGAGCGTCAATGGATTAGTCGCAGATCCATGCTTGGAGGAAGTTCTTTGTTGCTAAAAGAACTGGTTATTGAAGATCTTAAAGAATATCGCGATTCGATGAGAATGACAGAAGAATCCTTCAGTTGGTTACTAAATAAAGTAAGGCCTGCTATAGAAAAAAAATGATACTCACATCAGGAATGCAATACCGGCCAAAATAAAACTCCAAGCAATTATTTATATGCTTGCAACAGGAAATAATTTGAGGAGCCTATCTCATTTTTTCAGAATATCTAAATCTAGCCTATATAATGATTCCTGTAATTTGTGATGCCATCTACAATGCTTTGGAGGAATTTATACAGGTGAGCAAATAAAACATCCTGTAGTTATATTAAGTCACATAACTTTAATACTTGAAACTGGGTAATTTTGAAATAATACTAGTTTTTACGGAATTTATCGCGTATATTTAACTTTTTAAATACCCGACGTTTCGAACGCTTTACAGCACTCATGGTCACGGGCGGGACTAGTAAAAACTAGCTGGTGGAGCGTCGAGCCTAAGGTCGCCGAAGTCTAATTCCCCGGTCGAACCTTAAAACCTATTACGCGAGCTATTAATCTAAGTGGACTGTATCTACAAAATGTTTCTACACTTATATAAACGGCAACTATAGCATGCGGTACAATGCACTCGCTCTTCCCTAAAAACGAACTATTATTTGCCAAATCGATGAAAGGAATCCTGCTTGATTAGGAGAAAACAAAATTGGAGCGGGTTAAAACACAGTTATATCAAGCAGGATATATATTTAGGAATATTGACTCACCGGGGTTTCTTTTATTCGGTCGAGCACTATAGCTGCGACTTCTGGAACTTCTTCTGGAACACTCCGGAGAGAGGCGGTGCGCGACTATATCTCACACGAGTAAAGGCGGGTTTCCTGGAGCTCGACTGCTTCCAGGCTAAAGCGGTTCTACTAGTGGTGTGGTTCCAATGACGAGCGCGGCGGGAAGAGGGCGCGCGTCGGTCGCGCGTGCCTTTTATGTCTTCGGTTGGGATGATTACGTGATATTCTAGAATCATCTTCTTTCCCCTCCCACCCCACCACCCCGATGTGTCGATAGGAGGGTATGAATGATATCGTTTTGGAAAGGGATAACCGATTTGGCAGCCTACCGTCAAATTAAATAAATACGAATGGTTTTCCGCGCAACCATCTCCCCCGCCCTTGAAGGATTTCCTGCAAAAAATAACTAAAACAACTAGAGCTAAGATCAAACTAACAAAATAACGCTAAGATTACCTAAAATTCAACTACAATTTCTAATCTAGAAAGCTAATTTAAATTATGGAAGATGCAGGGGGCACAAACGGATAACAGGACGCAGGTAAGACCCAACCGTGGTCTTAACGCGAGCTACCCTAATTACTCCGTCGGAACCGGGAAAGACCTCTTTGACAATTCCTAACGGCCAGTGGAGAGGCGGCGTATTCTCTTTGGTGAGCACAGCTACAGTTCCTACAGCTAAAGGCTCGGTTGCTGTGTTCCATTTTTGGCGAGACTGCAAAGTATGCAAGTATTCCATCCTCCATCGTTTCCAAAACGATTGCACTAACCGGTCTAATAATT